GTAAAATTTAAAACGTATCTGTCATGTGATAGGCGTTTTAAAAATTCTCTAAAAATTTGATCAAAGATATCTCGACAACCACTGCATCAAATTTGATGAAATTTTTTATTTGAATTCTATAGGTCTTCAGAATTCAAATAAAAAAATTTTCATCGAATTTGATGCAGTGGTTGTCGAGATATTCTCAATCAAAGTTTGGGTAAAAATTTTGGCGCAGCTATTACTATATATATTATAGACGTTTTAAAAAATTCTAAAACTTTAATTATGAATATATCACCAACCACTGCATTAAATTTGATAAAAAATTTTTTATTTGAATTCTACAGATCTATAGAATTTAAATAAAAAAATTTTCATCGAATTTGATGCAGTAGTTATTGAGATATCTTTAATTAATTTATTAAACCTTATAAATAAAAAGTGATAAAATTGAAATGATTTACATACGAATAAAAATTTCTTTGAAAATTTATATATATATTTTTTTATTTTTTAAAAATTTATTATTAATAATATTATTATATTATATTATTTTGTGACTTTATCAAGGTGAATTTAATATATCTTTATTACTTTGGTTTTTTAAAAATGGGTGATAGTAATTATAAAGTGATTGTGACTATATAAAGGGTAAAATAATATAAATTTAATTGGTAAATAAAAAAAGGTGACTATATTGAGTTTGTGACTATATCAAGAGTGACTATATCGAGGTGTAACTGTATTAGTATATAATAAATTGAATAAAAAAAAAACTTTTTTTGCGAAATAGTAAATAACTTCTAATAGTATATACAAGTGTAATTGATATGGAAAAAGTTATAAAAAAATAGCTTTTATTAGTAAAACTGGAAAATCTACAAAAATATGTTATGAATGTTGACAAAAAATTTTAGAAACCTATAATATTACAAAATCAAATAAAAATACACCTTATGATCATGATTTTATTGAATTTAATGAAATGAGAAAAGATTTGTTTAAATATATTCTTGAAGTTGGAAATAATAAATATAAATACAGGTATAGAATTTTTGCGCAAAATATCAATTGTTTTACTAAAAATAAACTACATGAACTTGGAAAAAAAATTGCTGAAATCATAAAATCTGCTAATAGATACTATTACATGTAAGTTATTAATATTGATGATAATAATAATAACAGAATAATATTTTTTTATTAATATATAATAAATTAAAATATTTTATAGTTATCATAAAGTTTACCAATCTAGAAAAAACTCTAATAAATATACATTTTGGTACAATTGTTCACAAAGTTGTACTTTAGCTAAACATCCACAAAAGCATAAAAATGTTAGTAAACAATATGATAAAGAATATATTGAATGATTTTCATGTAATGATATTCTAAAAATTTTACTTGATATGGAAATGAACATAGCAGTGATCGATCTTCAACATAGTTTACTTTATAAACATCCAAATTGGTTTAATACATCTGATGATATTAAAACTAAAATAAAAAAAAATATTCATCTTACACTTGCAGATATTTTTAAACAGTTAAAACAACAAAATCCAAATTTAACTCAAAAACAAGTTCATGTATAGTGGTCCTATTTTTTAATAATAATCAATTAAATTTTGCAAGCATACTTTTAAACGAAAATGAATGCAAGAATATTTTGTTTAACAATCAAAATATTAAATATTTTGGCTTTGTAACATCATTTTTTGAATTATTAAAAAATAATCATGAGATTGTTGTAGATGCTATATATAAGATAAATATTTTAGATATGAGCTATATTTAGTTGTTAGTCAATATGATGGATCTGAATTCACACTTGCTTATTTGTTCATTGAAAGAAATAAAAAAAATGATGGTGCTCATACAAGTATTTTAACTTTATTCTTTGAATCTTTATTTAATTTAGAATTAAATAATATTTATTTTTCCCTAATGGATAAAGATTTCATACAAATTTCAGCAGCATTAAAAATTTGACCAAATTCTAAAATTCAAATTTGTTATTGACATATGAAAAAAGCACTGAAAAAACAGCTCTCAGATAATACATATCCAAAAACAATTAATTATAGTTTACATTTAGCATATCAAACATTTGAATTTATTGATATCGAATTTTATCTAGTATTATTATTACAAGTAACTCAGACACAAAAAAAGAACTTTTATTTTTGTCCTAAAGAATTACATTCTAAAGTTATTAAGATAATGGAACTAGTGCTTGGCATAATCAAACAAAAATTTGACAATCAAATACTTGTAACTAAATCGGACATCAAACAATTTCAAACCTGAATATATAGTTGGTTAATCTGTAATCATTTGATGTCCGACTTAATCACAAGTATTTGATTGTCAAATTTTTGTTTGATTTTGTCGAGCACTAAATGGAACAACATATGCATCTTCACTCTTTAATTTCAAATATTAATGGATCCTATTTAACGGCATACCAAATTTGGGAACAATCAACAAAACAGATGTATGAATTTTGTATTCACAATGATTTAAGGTTTTTGTGGTATTATCTGTAAGAAAATTGGTATTAAAAAAAATTTTGGAATTTATAGACATAATTTGGATATAACAAGATCTGTATTTTTTGTACTACTATACTTTGTAAATCACATTGGAAAGTTATCAAGCAAGACTTTTTACCTAAATTTTTTAAACCATGTCTTGATTTTCTTTCTTATATTATAGCTACTCATTTAATTCCACATCACAAGCAACAATATAATAAGCATTATAATAAGCATGAAATGCCTTTTTGGCGAAAAGACTTTAAAAGAGAATGGATAATATTAAAAGAAAAAAAATCAATCATAATTACATAACTAATATTGAAAAGTAGATCTACAGATATTTAGGATTTTTAACTAATAGATTCTTTCTTTGCAAGCATTTAATTCAAACATTTTAATTTATAATTAATAAGTCTTTTTTTGAAGATATTCAATAGCAAGAAATCTATCCTTTCATATTTTTACGATCACAACATATATTATTGTAGCAATATTCAATAGTGCAATTAATACAATCAAATACAGGTAAAAAAACAGGTGTTTATAAGTTAATAAATATAAACATATATATTTATATTTATTTAATTTACATAGTTGACAATATAATCAATATTATTAATTCAAGTAAGGATAATGATGAATCATCACAAATATTCGAAGAATATAAATTACTACTTCAAGATGCACTTAAAATTGTACAAGAACAAGAAAATGGCAATAATATTCAATAGGCAAAATCAGTTCAAGGAAGTTTTAAAGGTGTACAAAAGCTAGTAATAGATATTAAATCATATAAAAGAAGAATAACTAACTCACGTACTTGGAAAGACTACAATCAATATATAATGTTTTTAAATTTGCAAGATGCAAGTATTTAATAAATATTATTATTTTGCTTTATAAAATTATAAGTGCTCTAATACTAAGCTTTTTTTAATTTTACAAAATTAAATAGAAATGAAAGCAAGACAGCAATTAATCTTCTAATTCAAACTCAAAGGTTAAAAATTTTTTTTATATTTTATTTATTCTATATTATTTTTTTTTATTAAATATTATTTAAAATAAAGGTGAAAGCTAAACAGCAATTATCTTTTAACCCAACTTCAAATTAAAGGTAATGTATTATAAATATCATTATTCTTTGGTAGAGTATTCTAATTGTATAATTTAAAACAATAAAAATATTATTATTAGAAAATACGATCTCTTGGATGAACATTGGCTAATAATTGAGACAAGCAACCAAAAAGTAATAATACAAAAAATTTTTTTAAAAAATTTTTTTATAATTATATACTATAAGCAAATTAAAAACATAAAAGCATGCATTTCAATAAATAAATTTTTTGGCTTGTTAACTTTTCAAGAATTTTTAAGTAATAGAAGAATTCTAATGCAGTGTTCGAATAATTAAGGAGTAAAATAACAACTTTTTTCTGTTTTTACTCTTTAACCTATTTGCTATAATACTAATACTCTAGTAACTAAAGACTCTGACAATTGATCAAAAGTATGTAAACATTATCATCAAATATAATATATCTTCTATCAGGCCTTCTTGTTTCTTAAAATACAAGCAAATAAGTGTCTTTTTAACCCACCTTCATGAATTAAAGTTTTGTTGCTAGATTTGCTGTTGATCTGCTTAAGCCTTTTTTGCTACTACTACAATTACATTATAATGAAAGAAAAAAAAAAAGTGTAAACAAATACACTTAGCAAAAATGACACCATAACATTTAATATCATCTTAAGTTGATAAGAAAAAGCCCAATTGTCATACAATTGCTATACAAGGATCAATAAAGTAACATTAAACTTAATAATACTACTATGTAGTTTTCTTTTTTTAAGTTTTTTTTTAAAAAAACTTTAAATAAAAGTTTTACAACAATCAACTATACAAATTTGATGAAATTTTTTATTTAATTCTATACTTTCATGAAATTAAAATAAAAAAAATTTCATTGAATTCAGATAGTTGATTGTGGAGGAATTAAAATTAAAAAAAACTGGCCGTAGCTTCTTTTTTATAGATGTTTAAACTTTGAATGAAGATTACTTGACACTTACCTGATCAAATTCAATCAAAAATTTTTATTTTAATTATATGATTGTGTAGAATTGAAAAAAAAAAATTTGATCGAATTTGATCAAGTAATTTTCGTTCAAAGTTTAAACATCTACAAAAAAGAAGCTGCAGTTAATTTTTTTAATTTTTATGAATATTCCTCGACAATCAATTATCCAATTCAATAAAAATTTTTTACTTCAATTATATGCTTTTATAGAATTAAAATGAAAAAATTTTCATCAAATTTGGAGAATTAATTATTGAGGAATTAAATTTTAAAAAAATTGGCTATAGCTTCTTTTTTATAGACGTTTAAACTTTGAATAAAGATTACTTGACACTTACTTGATCAAATTTGATCAAATTTTTTTATTTCAATTCTATACAATCATATAATTAAAATAAAAAAATTTTGATCGAATTTGATTAGGTAGGTGTCAAGTAATCTTTGTTCAAAGTTTAAATATCTATAAAAAGAAACTGCAGCCAGTTTTTTTTTAATTTTTATGAATATTTCTTGACAACCAACTATCTAAGCTTGATGAAATTTTTTTATTTTAATTATTTAATTTATAGAATCGAATTAAAAAAAAAAATCATTGAATTTGGATAGTTAATCATGAATTATTTTCATTTAAAATTTGAAAGAAGAAAAATTACTCTAATTTTTTTAAGATCTTTGAATTTTTTTTAAAACTTTGCTGACAAATTCCCAATGACTATTAGGACAAATTCATTAAATCTTTTTTTATTTTAATTCTATAATAGCATAAAGTTAAGATAAAAAAAAATTTACTAAACTTGATCAAGTAGTAATTGAGAAACTTTTATTAGAAGTTACAAAAAAATTTCAAAATATCAAGAAAGATCTTTGAGCTAGTAAATTACTATTGGTCGGAATGTAGTACAAATCTTGTGTAACTAAAAATTTTTGGTGGTGCTGTTGGAGTAGTTGCACGTATGGTAATATTATATAGGCTTGGTGCTACAGAAAAGGGGAAATCGACAAATTTTTAAAAATTTTTTTTTACACAACTCGATTTAGAATAATATTAGGATCATTTTTTATTTAAAACATAAAGGAAGTTGTATTAATAAAATTTTGTAGTATAGCTCTTTAAAGTTTGTATTTTCTTATGATTTATTATAAATTTATAACGTAAAAATTGATCTTCTGAAGATCTTTTGTTTTGTTGATTTCCCCCTTTTCTATAGCACCAAGCCCATATAATTTTCATGTACGAATAGAATTTTCCTTAAATTTTGGTCAACTTTTCATCTACAGATTACTAAAATTTAAAAAACTTTTTATCAAATTCTATTAAGTAGTTGAGAAAATTTGATTCAAAGTTTGAAAAATTTATACCACCTTTTAAAAAAAAATAGGTTTGCAAAAAATTTCTAAACTTAGAATAAAAATTTCTTAACAACTATCTAATAGAATTCAATAGAAATTTTTTTAAATAGTATCTATAAGTTAATATAATTCATTTTAAAAAATTTCATTGAGAAAATTTTATTCAAAATTTGAAAAAAGTTTTACTGCCTTTTAAAAAAATAACTAACAAAATTTTCTAAACTTTGAATGATAATTTTTTAACAATTACTTGATAAAATTCGATAGAAAATTTTTTTTGTTCAAAGTTTGGGAAATTTCTGTTATAATTATTTTTTTAAATTTAGTAAAAATTTTTTCAAAATTTGATCAAAATTATTTCAACAAACACCTGTTAAAATTTGATGAAAATTTTTTTTTAAATAATTTTTATTAACTTATAGATATTATTTAAAAAAACTTTTATTAAATTTTAACAGATAGTTGTTAAAAAATTTTCATTTGAATAGAAATTTTTTGTGTAGTTATTTTTTTAATAAGTTTTTTCAACTTTTAGATTAAATTTTCTTAATAAGAGAAGTGTTATTTATCATCTAATTTTTTTCGGAGGGGATCCCTACCAAAATATCATATACGTATGTATATATACTTTCAGAATTTCAATTCATTTATTATGTAGGGGGGGTAATATTTACTATTTAAAAAAATCAGATAATAAATAACACTTCTCTAACTACTTGATAGAATTTAATGAAATTTTTTAAATAAATTTTAGCAATTTGTAGAATTGATTTAAAAAAATTTTCATTAAATTTTGTTAATTGTTTGTTAAAAAAGTTTAATCAAAATTTAAAAAAAAATTTATTTTAACAACTTATATACAGTATATAAAGATTATATAATATTACTATACATGTACAATTATATATTTTAGTACATGTTTATAAACTATTCTTTTTACTAGAGGTTTAGACTAGAGCTATGACCCAGGTTAGGTTGACACAACAGATCAGCATCTTAATGGGGCATAGATCGATTTTTTATTTAAGTTGTTCTTTTAACGCAGAAAGACTTATTTAGGATGGTTCCTAAATAAGTCATAGTGGAATAAGTTAGCTCTATGTCACATGACGGTACAACGTACCTGAGTCATGTGTAAATAAGAGATCACTTCAATTCCACGTCGTCGACGCAGTAGTAAAAATGCGTATAATATACAAATTTGCTACGCCGCATTGACGGACATCAAACCGAAATGGACACGTATGCCGAGACCGATCATCGAGGCATTACACGGGAATTTGCGGGCTTGATGTCAGCCGCATCGGCGAGATGCAATTAATTTGCAGATCCTAACTACCACCTCATAGTAAAGATCGGCAAATTAATTAGTTACCGCCTTTTTGCCCATTTTTTATATAGTAAAAACTGCGCCTCACTATTAGTAACCGCCTTTTTGCCTAGCTACCGCCTTTTTGCCCAAAAATGATCGACATGAAAAAATGCATTTAAGCAATGAAAAAAAAAGATTTTCAACATATCTTTTTTTAGTTTTTCCGGCACAATAGCCCACACTTCAACGTGATTTTTGACAACTTTCTCGCAAGAAAACAACCCTTACGCTTCTAATCAAAGTTGTAGCATAGATATTGAACTAGTAGAATCTAGATTTTTAGCCTTTTTGGTCGAATATCCGTGGAGATATTCACATTTTTTGTCTTCCATTCGCTCATACGTTTTCGCAAAATTGCCGACAGAATTGAATCGATAAGAAGAGCACTTTCTCACAATGAAACACACTTTACGCTTCTAACAAAAGTTATTCGCATGGTTTTAAAGAGCTAGGATCTCAATTTTTAGATTAACTGCGCGTATATTCGTCAAGTTATCGACGTTTTTGTAATGAGAACTAATAACGAATTTTTTATTTTTGTTTGTAGGAACGTATCGATCAATTTGGATACAACAGTAAAATGAAACATGTTGTACGATTCTAACAAAGGTTTAGAGATGGTATTCAAGAGTTTGCCTGTGAAATTTGAGCTCATTTGAATGAAAACTCGTGAAGTTATTACGTTTTTACGTTACACTTTGGTTAGACGTTTCTACATTTTGATGAAGAGGGACGAAAAATCACGGTATCATTGTGGGATTTTTTTACAAGTTCGGTCTAAATATACGACTGCGCATTAACAAGAGTTGTAGCTAACAGGTTCGAATTATGCCTGATGAACTTTGACATATTTTAAACAAATATTGATAAAGTTATCAATTTTTTCATTTTGTTATAATCTAATATTATTATATCTTATAGGTGCGTCAGTCATTTGACATTCAAAAAACTATAAATGTGAATATGAACTTGATTTAGAAGATATTTTACAACATCTACGGTTTATTTGCATAGAAAATAAACCGTAATTATTCGATCGTATCTCTTGTTTCAAGAAGAAAAAAACATTTAAGTGTATCTTGTTTTCAATAAACAATTTGATACAAGCACCAAGACCCTCTTTGATATTGATTTAATTGATGTCTATTACAATGCAAAAATCGAGAAAATAAACAAATACAAATTTAAAAAATATAATATTAACTTATTAATAAAAAATTACATTTAACAAACATAAAATAATTATTTGTATTTTTTTTAATAAAATCGCCTTGAATAGTTCGAAATTTCGAACCGTTCAAGGATTTAATTGTGTAATTTTCACAACAAATTTAAATAAGTATTAACTAAAAAACATGACTGGTATTAAATTTACTTTCACTTTAACTACATCATTTCAATGTATACATTGTTTAAAAAAGTATCAATGTAAAAAGAAGGATCAAGTTTCAAATGAAGAGAGAAAAAAGAGAGAAAGAGAATTTGAAGAAACGGGAGTTCTTCTACAATGTTCTTTATGTAAATTGTTTCATAATCGCTGTAAGAATAAGAAATGCAAACAGTGTTGCATGTTGCATACATGCAATGCAATCGAGTGTTCCAATTGTAAGAAATGTGGGATCAGATGTGAATGGCCTTTTCCAAGAACTGAGGAAGAGTTTAACAAGTTATGTGAGAAATCGGGTAATGTTTTAACAAGATCTGTGGCAAAATTTGAAAGATCCAGTCAAGGAAATCTTCATGTTCATG